CCCTTCCGACCCTTAATCTATGAATCTATGAATCTATATTTAGTAGGCTGCCTGTGCAATGTCAAACAGCTGAGAAAAAAGTTTGAAGACCATTTCACAAGGAGTCTCAGTCTCTATATATTTGTTTTGTCGAAGCTTGTGTGTATAAACAATAAGAGTTGCGGAAGTGTTTATTCACGCTGATAAATTCAAAATGACTGCAGTATCATGAAAAGAACACTTTTGTTCAAAAACTTTTATTTACTATAAAGACAAAAAACACCAAAATAGGTACAAATTATACTATATAAAATTGGTTCAATGGGGTAAAAACTTTTAATTAAAATATCTTGATATATTTAAAATAACAAAGGATACAATGAAGCCAAATTTCTTAACCCAGAGATTTCTGTAAAATTTGCTTGCACAGTAAGGTGCTAATAGAAGTTAGCCCTTAAGCCCTGGAAGTCTTAGGAATCAGTCACATAGCAAATATAATTTCATTGTGAAAGTGAACTTTGGTAGAAGAAAATCTATAGGACACCTGAGGTAGTAGAAACTGGAATAAACAGCAGTAGGCGTTATTTACAACTTAAGTACCAAATAACATTAAGAACACAAAAATAATTACACAATACAATTTTCAGTCCAGCTTTGATCCAAAGAAAATAAGAATATTACATCACATCTGCATTTTAAAAACACCACAATTACCAGCAAGCTGAGGGAAATGCAAACAAACTCAAACAAATGCATTTGGACATCTAGAGGCAGTTTGAGTCTGAAATGTGGTAGGTATGGTGATCTATAAAGTAATACTGATTAGCTGAGGTTCATCAGTTTATATAGTTTTACATTTATGCCAGAAACAATATTAATCTAGCAATTTATTTTTCCAGTACATAAATTGGCAAGAGTGCATCCTTTAAAGCTTGCACATAAAAATGACTTGGAACCAATCTTATTAGAATCATGAAAAATTCTAAAGCAGTCGAAAACCCCCCAACAAAAACAAAAAACAAAACAAAGAAAATCAAGTACAAAACAGAGCTACCAAACTTCACATTTCGGCACTTTATTTTCCTTTTAACTCTTCAAAGTTTGCCAAACTTCCAAAAATATAATAAAATAAAAAGGAATGTAAAATTTCAAAAAGAAATACACATTCACATCTAATGACACGGCTTTTTATTTATATGAGCATTATTATTCCTGTAAACTTCTCTTAAACTTGTTCTTTTTCCAATTTGTGTATTGTTGTACATTTTTAATGTACTATAGCTTATTTAGTTTGTCCTGAGTCTTTGAAAATAACCAATTCTATTTCAGTCCAACAATTCAACTGGCTTCTGAAGAGTTAAAACTTGAACAGTTATTTAAAAAATGAATTAAAACAATCAGTACTCATTTAAAAGACCCCCTTAAAAAGCAAAAGAACAGCTGCCATTTTCCTTCAGAATTCCATGCATCAGAATCTGAAAGCCTGTCTTTAAAACAATTTAAAACTTTTAAAGGAAACACCTGTTAAAAAACAAGAAAGTTCCATACAACAGGTGAAGCTTTACTTCACATTTTACCTTAACTTGCTTTTCAAATTGAGGATCATTTCCTGTTAAAAACAACACCCTTATTACACTTAAACAATATTGGTAAGAGACTTCCAAATTACATTAACACCAGTTGCTTCTGTACATGGATGATGTATGGCAGAAGGAAAACAGCAGTTAAAACTTGGTATCAGTAATGAATGTGAAAACAGTGTTGTCACAAAGTAAGACTTGATTTAGACCCTGCTTCTGCCTCCATTGATATTAAGGGGCAAATCTCCCTTTGACTTTCAAGGGAGCTGTGATGGAGACCCTTTATATGAAACCTGTCTACATGGTTTACAAGAGGAAATTACTAGATTGAAGAAAAAAAAAAGCAACCCTGAAAAACTAAGATTTAGCATGACCTGGGTTGGGCGTTGACTTATGAAGATCAATCTTGCTTTCTGTATTTAAGTAACCTGTACTATCAGAGCCTGAAACACTGACTTGCTGAAGGTGGCATTTTATTATTTTATTCCAGATTTCAAATAAACCTGCAGTAAAAATTCTTGCATCAGCAAGATATTCAGTGACATACAGTTTGCACCTAGTTCTAAAGATTTTTTATTTTATTTTAAATGATCACCTTTCCCTGAATGTTAAATATAATGAAAATATAGAACCGTAACTTCAAAAAGGAAATTACAGTGCCAGCAGTAAACGCACAGTGAACCACAACTGCCTGCTCATCTATAATGACGGCAAAATATGGTTTGAAAACTTATCCACCAACATTTGTTTTTGTTACTCCACTCAGAGTGTACTTTGTGAAGTCAAAGGAACAGATACAGAACTTCCTTTTAACCAGTGATGAAAAACTGAATGGAACTGCAGAACCCTCTGTTTATGACCACATGATGTGAAATGGAACAGTGATTGCTATATTAAACAGATCCTGAGCCCCTCAGCTGCTAATATTGCTGAAAAAGTGCTCCAAATAAAATAAAAATCACTTATCTGCTAAATAATCATGCAGATTTAAAGAAAAATGTTTTCTTGTTCACTTAGAGCCAGATCTTTGAAAAGGCACCATTTACATATTTCTGCACAAATGGTGAAGTATTGCATACTGAGCTTCGGTAAAGATTTTGATTTGTCAATCACATACTTAGGTAAAGGTCCTCTGCCAGCCTTAAGTCCATGATGTATAATTAAGGCCAGCAAAATAATCCAAGCCGCTGTGCTAAACTGCACTGCGAGGCAAGTATTTCTATAGTCAGTAGCATCTTCTTCAGCATATCATGTTACATAATTAGCTACCACGTAGTACGGAAGACCGGGTGTTTCAGTAGCTCCCTGGATGGAGGTCTGTCCTGAGGCTGAAGTTCTAAACATCGAAGGGTCACATCTCTTAAACCAGGGGACAGATGTGGGGGGATTGATGGAGCAGTAGTTGCACTAGCAATCTACAAAAGAGAAGGAAACGTGGATTTTAGGTATTTTTTTCTTAAGAAGTTACCAATTGTTCTGATGTTTTTAGTTGACTTACCTCATCTGCTGTCTGAAAGGATCAGATCTCTTTTCCTTATCCAGTTTCTCTATGGCTTATTGCTATTGCTGATTATTGTACATAACCACTGCCTTGGACCTCACTTTGGATTTTCTTGACCTCATGTAAAGCGTGACATTTGTTTCCCCAATATATGAATCCTCTGCTATTCTTCTCTACTTCTACGTTCCCACCTTGGATTCTCTCAAATTTTCTTTCTGGAACAACCCTCCCGGACAACCACCTGCTGAATGGACTCTCGGTAATCCTTTGACCATCCTTAAAAGCATTATCCGGGCAGATCACTGGCCATCTGTGTTTACTGGCAAAATGGAAGTAAGCATATGGAGCTAATGAGATTGTCTGTGGGTACACTCTCCCTTACATTATCCTGCCAGAATATTTAAACTATAACCTTGAAGGACCACATGCAAGACGAAAAAGTGCAACTCAAGCTCTATTCATATAGAAAAGTTAAGGTTGAACAGTTTCAACTTTAACCTCTCTATATGAATGCCCATTAATGGGAAAATAGCTTTAGTTATGGTACCTTCAGCAATATTGCATTAGAACATGAATATTAATACTAGTGAGAGATATTATTTTGTAAAAGTATTTCCTTCAATCATTTTGTGTCATTTGTTTAACTATGATTTCTATTAAACCTATTTACATTAAGTAAGGAAGTGGACTGCATTAGCAGTCTGGAAAAAAAAATACTATCCTTTTATCAATATCTGTAGATGCAAGTTTATTAAAATCCTTCTAGGCTGAGGACCTGTGTGAATTTCAAATTTTAGGGCAGGATCCCCCTCCCCACCCAAGTTATGCACATTAATATTCAAGTAACTGTTGTATCATTATTCTATAAATTAGAAAAAAAACAGTAAAAAAAGAGGAAACAATGATGTCATCAAAGAGATATCACAGATCATTCCTGCTGTGCTGTCTCAAGGATGCATTCACACCTTAAGTACATAACTCCTCTCCACAGGTTGTTCTCAGTTATTTTGAAAAATGAATCACTAAAGTGGAATAGTTTAGAGATAAAATGTAGCAGCTCTTTATCAGTGTAGCATTTCTAATAAAAAATGTTTAAAATGGAAAGAGAGCACTGCAATCAGTTATTCACTGTGCAACTCATTTCATCCTAAAAATCTCCACTGCTACACATGAAATTGAGTCAACATTGTCTTTTATGTTTATAATACAATTAATTTATAATACAATCAAGTACCTCACCTTAAATATCAAAGCAAGATGATTGGAGTGTTTCTCTGCATTCCAAGGTGGTTTAGCACAAGCCATTTCTATAACAACGCAGCCCACACTCCATACATCACAGCTTCTACCATACTGCTGGCCTCTCAGAACCTAAGAGACACATAAATCAGGACTCAATTTAACTAAGCCTGGGCCACTGACACTATACATACATTGTTTTAGATACAAGGAGCTCAAATCAAGTGAATGCTAATTAGCAGTGTTAAATAAGTTAAATGGCATTGCTATTGAGAAGTTATGCTAACATCACTTACAACACTAAAAGTTCTAGGCTAGTTAAATAAAAAGAGACCATCTGATAATTAAAAATAACCAAACAAAAAACAAGTCAGCTTCTCAGTATACTCAGAGTAATAAATACGCAAGAGAAGAAACACCAAATACACCAACAGCACACCTTTCCATAATTCCTATTCTTTATGCCAATAAGTTTACCTGAAGCGTCACTTCACTACTGAACACTGATTCAAAGAGCCTTATATTAGCACTTGGCTATGTTAATTTTTTTTAAAAGAATTTTAGAACTTTTTTAGACTGGTCTCCTTACCTCCGGTGCCATGAATGCAATAGTTCCCAACAACTGTCCCTGAAACTCCCCAGCACCAGTTCCTTTTGATGCCAACCTGGCTGCAGCTCCAAAATCAGCAATTCTTAATCTATGACCCGTGCTGTCAATTAGCAAATTTGCACCTGTCAACGGCATAATAATAAAAAGCTGCTATTGGCTTTGTTGCAAGCAAAAACATGAACAGATAGAAAACAATATTAAGGGTCTGACAAAATCACATACAAGCACAGAAATCTGGAAGTAGAGCCAAAAACAGTAACTCTGGGTGACAGGTCTCAAATATACTTAGATAACACTGTGTTCATTGGCCTGAAGTCATCCTAGGTAAGTTGTAGAGAAGTAATATGAAAGCATAAGCATTGGAGATAGGACAAATGGAAGACTGAACTCCCAACCAGGTGGGGAAAGGGTGATGACTAGTACTTGCTGCATGCCCCATAATAGCCACCTATGTGAGATTTCTCTTCCTCTTTGTAAAGCTATGTGATCACAGGAGAGCTCAGTGCTATGCAGGGATATTAGCTAGCTTGGATAACAGAAGCAAAGTCATGTTAGTGGTGCTCCACCCAAGCTAATTAGTCTTGTTAAGCTAGTGTGGTTCTCCCTACACATCATTCCATTAGTTCACATCCACTTGAAAATGAGTTCAGAAAAAAGGGTGAAGGAAACATTAACTTTGAATTTTGTTTTCTTAAGCGTTAAGTCTAAAATGACACAAGTTTATTCACAAGTCAGTGACTAAGTGTAACAGGAAGAACATCTTGCATTTAGCTTGTCTAACTTTCTCCTAACTACATAGTTGGTCTGCTAAAAGATATTACTATAAGAAATCCTTGCCTTTCATAATTTCTGGACCACCAGAGCTACAACACCACTCTTACACTACAGTATTATACTTCACACCAAGTGAAACTCGCAAAACATTTGCGATTAAATTATTATTGCAAAAATATTTCTTTAAATATAGGACTTTTAGTTATCCATTAATCAAATCC